CCTCAGCAGCTACCTTATCCTCAACTGATCGCAACGATCTAACTCCAGATAAGAAAAGTATTTTTCAAATCACTTAACAGAGAATCACTGCATATGATTACTCAACCATTTAAATAGTAGAGCTCTTATTTTTTTTTTTTTTTACAAATATTCAGTAGAGATGTTTGACTTAAAGGCCTACATTTTTGGATTGGCACAGCAAAATTTATTTCAATTGTAAATTAGCATGTTCCTTCGAAACACCTTTTCATATCAGATACTAAAAAATTAGCAATTCTGGCTCTAAAAAAATAAAGTAAATATGCTCTTCAAGAGCTAAAATCATTATCTTTTGTTTTTCTACAAAAAAGACATTCAACAGGAATTCATTTTAAATGGTAACCCCATCTTTTAGGATGTCTGCCACAATCTTAATTAGGAGAATAGTGTCCCCTTCGGGAAGCAAGCCAATGGGAATCAAGTCCCAAATAAGAGCGAACCACAGAAAAATGTCTTTGTTTCTGTTGATTATATAAGATAATGGTCTCAAATGAAAAGAATTCTATTCATGTCCATCAAAGCTAGGGTGCACAGAAAGCAAATCTCTTGACCCTGAACAGAAAAGACAGATAAAGACAGAACCAATGGCGTAGACTACTTCAGGTTTAGCTCTCCAAACTAGCAAAGGAACCCATTTAAAATATTACAGATCAAATTTCAAGCCAATATTACATTCTCTTATGGATTTAACATACTATAGGCAATCTTTTTTCCCCCTTAATCACTATTCACTGTTTCCCCCACAAGAACTTTCTCATGGGTATACTGCTAATCATCACAGTTTCTTTCTGGTTGTGGCAATATATGACAGGTATCACGGGAATATGGCAAATAGAAGCAAGCATAAAAATGACCCCTCATCACAACCGTGGTATCACATGAGGATTTCAGGAGTACCCATGTTCAAGTTCCTTTCCTAAAATCTGTTTCCGAAAGATACCCATAAAAAATAGATCCACTGGGATTCATTTAACATTTATCCTTCTTGAAGGGTAATCTTGAAGACTGCCCTTTGCCTAGAACCTAACTGGCAACTTCGATTGACTCCGTTTCCTAAACAAAATGTCATTTGTCCCTTGGACCACAGGGATAATCTGCTCACGTGCCAGGATGTACCATAACTTATATGAAAATGTTAAATATGTGATAGATTGATACTCACCAAAAAGAAACAATATAGCTAGAATATAGCTATTCTATTCATTTCTGTATCTCATATTATATATAAGTCACTGCCCAGATAGATGACTTACAGAAAAACTAAGATTCTTACCTGCCTATAATTTTGAAATGAATTTTTAATCACATAAAAAAAAAGAGGTTTCAATGTCCCACTTACATACTAAAGACCTGCTAGAAAGAGTCCCTGCACAGGAAAAGGTAAAGACCACAGTCTCTGGTAATAAAAGAACTCAAACAAAGTTGACAGTAACTTGACAAAAGATCTTTTTCTTTGAATTCAAACAGAAGCCCCTCAACCCCAGGGCTCCGCTGTATCTGGGATGTCATGTTTACAAGACGTGGTATAGGGATAACACAGTTGCCAACGTTGACAGAAAAGATGTGTGCCTTTTTCTAAGGAAGGGGGAAGACAGGCAGGGACTGTAGAGAAAGTACGAACTGTACTCAGAGGAGCAGTTAAAACTGGGGAACATGAAAGGGAGAAGAAAGTCTTAGAGCCCTGGTTCAAAGTGGTTTAGGAATCATGGACTAGCCGAAGCCCAAGATTACAACGAGGAGTAAAAGTTCTGACTTTAGGTTCTGCTTTGAAAACAATCTAGACTGGACGGCTGTGGGAGAGAAGGGAATAGTGGAAGACATTTTCCTCCTTCCCTCTCCTGGATTTTTAACTCAGTTTTAGGGCAAGTGGGGTCAAAGACCTCTTGGATTTAGGCATCAAATGACCAACCTGAAGAATAATCTACAAGAAACTCTAACAAGTGACTCAAGGCAGAGGGAAGGCAAGGGGGAAGAGCTGGTTTCCAGCCACAGTCTATAGAGACCATCCATCTAAAAAGTCTCTTCTAAAGATGATGATGAGTAATATCACAATTCTAATATCTAATCAACACTGAATTTGAATATTTTTATAGATTTTATTGAATTGAGCAACCATGTCTATATTTGGAAGCTGAGACTCTATGGTGTTCGGGGAAATGATGAAAAATTATAGAAGGGAAGAAATCTAATACAACAAGACCCTGTAATCACTGCTCAGAATTCTCTAATCCTGAACCAGACTGTCTAGGAAAAGGTGGAAGGTTGATTATTGAGCTCACATGGAATAAATGAAAAAACACAGAAATCATTTTAGAATCAACATTTTACTTGGTACTGATTACTCAGCGAGATTAGAACCTTCATGCTTTGTGGAAACAAAACTACATATTAGATCTTAAACAAAACTACATATTAGATCTTAAAATTTTCTTGTTATTTCAACTTTCTAATCAATATAATATCACATGCCTCTACTTAAAAAATTTTAGCTATAGATCTCTTCACATCAGAGTGGCCAAAGCATGGACACAATAGAAGTTGAACCAAAAGAAGGAAGTACCTTTGACATCAATGCTATGATTTCGCTATTCATCCTGGGTCAGTGACAAAGGCTAGAAGATCCCACTACGGTTTGAAAACTCAAGATGACATCAGCACATTAACAATACAGAGATTATAGGGAACTGAAGAGCAGTAAGAAATTACTTCAGCAATAATCTTATCAGTTGTAGAAAATATATCTACAGAGACCCTGTGAGAATGCACTAGAGAGAGGCACCTGGGGGGCTCAGTTAAGTGTCTCACCCTTGGTCTCAGCTCAGGTCATGATCTCAGGGTCCTGAGATGGAGCCCCACCTTGATGGGCTGGCTCCAGGACGCTGGGCATGGAGCCTGCTTAAGATTCTGTCTTTCTCTCTTGCCCCTGCCCCTTCCCTCCCCTGCACTCTCAGGTGTGTGCACTCTCTCTCTCAAAAAAAAAAAAAAAAAAGCACTAGAAAGCATCAAGTGTGACACTATTCTAGTTTGAAAAAGGGAAGAAAGGAAAACCAGAGTTCTCACCTTCTTTGCTTGGTGTGAGGGGATGTAAAGCATCACTTGCCTTCAATGACCTAGAGAAAAGAGTTAACTTGAGGACCTGAAAAATACACCCGTTGGGAACGAGCCACAGGGCAGAACACAGGGTTTCCCAAAGTGGGGTCCACGTGCACTTGAGATTACTTTTTATGAGGACAAGGAACAAGGTGAGTGTGCGTATGTATGATTTTTCTACTTATGCTGGTGATACTGATTTTCTGCTTCTAGTAGCAATTTTTGTTTTTTATAAAAGGTTATGTATTTAATACAAAAAGTGACGTTATTTAATCAGGAATCAGAGTCTCTCCACCCATTGCACACAGTGAGATGGGTGCCTTCCGGAACTTCGATGACGGTTTGGGGATTTATTCTTCGGTTTAATCTCTGCACAGAAGACGACCAACCACAGCTGATACCATACGAAAAAAAGGATTAAGTGAATTCGGACAAGAAATACCCAATCTTCTTCCCCTACTCAGCTCTCAGGCAGACAAGTATTCCCCCTCTGAACAGGAAGCTGCAGGAGTCGTCTTTAAAATTATCACAGCCCAAGAGAGAAAACTGAGATACTGAACACCAGAAGGAACCCAGTTAAAAAGCCCAGTCAGATGACCCTACGTTGAAGCCAATAAGACCCACCCATGCATTCACATCAGCTGTTTATCCTCATGCTTTAAATATGGATAAAGAGCCAAAGAATATCAGAGAGCAAAGAAAAACTTCAAGAATGAAAGGAGACAAAAAAAAAAAACTAAGACAAAACAAACAAACAAAAAAACCCCAAAAACAAAACAAAGAACAAAGTAGCTTGAATGGAAACAGACTATGTACAGTAAAGAAAAAAATTTCAACAACTTCAAAAACATTAATAGCTTCAGAAAGAAACAAAAAGGTAAGATAATCAGGAAATAAAACATGATTGTTGCTAAAAGGAACATACAGGAAAATTTTTAAAAAGCTTTTCCTGGATACCAGCACTCTCCCTGTCCACCCCACTTCTATCTCCTAAAAAGAATTTAATCTTAAATACCTCTGTCTACCACTTAGGGAAAACTATCCCTTTCTGTAGCTGCTTTCCTATAATTTTAAGAGCGATGTTTGCTAAAGATCCTCCTTGATACTAAGAAATTGCAGGCAAATCGCAAGTCTCAAGATAATGCTCTGTATGATCTTTCCCCTTTATTTTCTCACCGCTCTTGGAAAGAAATGACAGACCAAGGTGTTCCCAATCCACACTCTAGAACCATGAACTGGCATTACTTCGTCAGTATCTTTCTAAAACAAGCAAAGTGTCCTGAGCATGAATAAGCTCTGTAGTAAACATGTGACGATGAATTCATTCTCAATTTTTAAAATGGGATGAGTCAGATCTCCAGACCTTTAAGATAATTTGATTTTCATTCAACAGTATTTTTCTAGTCACCAAAGTACCCAGGCATTTTCTAAATCATCACAAAGGCAAAATCCTTGCCTGGAGGGTACAAATTCTCATTTTTGTGCACTACTTCTTATGAGCCAATTTTTGGCAACTATGATTGCTGATATCTCAGTACGAAAGAAAAAGGGAGTTGTGGTAAAGAGTTAAGAGAGGTGAGAAGAGAAGAACCTATGGAGGAGGATGGACGGTCAAGGCAGAAACAAAGGTGTTCTTCAGGAGTCAAGAGACACCTTCAGAATAGGGATCATGGTTTGGACACTTTTCTTTGCATCCCTACAGCCCAGCACGGGCAGAATCTGCCACATCCAAAAAGGGCTCGAGAAACATTTGCTGAATTAACCTGTGAGCTGAGCTCCGTCTATCAGTGCCCCCGGGGCCAGAACGCACCTGAGGGACAGACAGCCCAGGGAGAGGCACAGCATTCTCGCTGACGACAGCAGCTCCTTACCTGTTGTTGGACGGGCACCTGCTGCACCACCTGGGTAGGCACTGCTGCCTGACTGGCCACAGATGTCTGTAAGGTCACTGTCGAACCTGTGTCCGACCCGGTCTCTGATGTCTGCATGATGGTCTCTGAAATGTAGCAAAACAGAGATAAAGTTGTCAACGTGTGCCTCGCGTTGTTCCTAATGCCCTCTACCACCGGGAGTAACTTTCAACTCTCGAGTGTACATCTTATGACAACACACCACCCTGATCTTCCGTGCGTGGTTAGAGTCTGACCATTTTTTAAATAAATGTAGAAAATGACCAAATCACATTAAAAAAAAAAAAAAACCCTTTAGCACCTCTCATTCTGGGGCTATAAAAGTTGAACTTCAATGAAATCTACCTTCCTTAGGTCTCATCCATTATAAATTGGTTTGATCATATTACAAACTATAGTCCAAAATTATTTCCAGATATTCAATTTTCAGTACACAAACCCTAACTGGATATAAATATGTCATAAAATGTCATCTTCTAGACACTTTATTGGATGTTATCAAAGTTGTACAATTTAGAATAAATTATTTCAAACATCCTTTCGAACTCTCAAACTTACTATGCTGTGATCTAAAAAAAAAAAAAAAAAAAGGAATGTCTATCCAAAAATTTAACCAAAGGATCAGTCAGGCTCACTAATTTGCTCTGCCTTTGGTATGACTGACCGGAAAATCAACCTTGATTTTACATAAAGGTAGCCAAAGACCAACAACATTTAGTATTTTGAAGACGGAGAGGACTGCTCTTAGAAAAATGAGACTTGTAAGCAAAGACAAAATTTTACCCTCTCCCTTGAAAGTTCAACCTGGCACATTTTTTAGTTCATATGTGCCTGACCTGCGAACTCAGGGTAAATTCTGCAGCATGTCCTCTAACAGGTCTCTTTCTCAGACCTCCTGGTCTCAACATTCCCTTTTGCTATTTAAATAGTCAATGGAATAAATATTAATTTCTTTGTTACTGAGCAGGGCCCAGAATTCTAATTTTCTTTCCTGGGGGTTTGAGGACACAATATTTAATTGGTAGCCTGATAAAAATACTGCATTATGGTTTAAATCTGTGAACAGTATGGTGAACATTAATTTTCCCTAAGAAATATTCTGGAGGAGTATCCAGTTCTTTCAAGTAGAAAATTAAGCCCCTCGTCATCTTTTGTCACAGCGTGCCCTCTTCCAATTTCCCCCCAAACCTTTTCTATCATCTCATTTGATTTCAGAAGCAGACCTCTGAGGACATCGCATCCTGTCTTCTTGTTTTATAAACGAGGAAACTAAAACCCAGAGAGATGGAGACTCACTCACGGTGATAGGAACAGCCATGGGACTAGGCTTGATCCCAAGAGCTAAGGATTCCCCAAATGCTCTACACGTTAACGTGTGAGCAAATTAATCCATTCAACAACCCAGTATGACTGGGAGGGTTTACTTCCTCCATTTACAGATGAGGGACCCTGGGCACACAGACTGAAGGTGGTTGGAAGCTTATAAAGGGGGAAGTGACAGAGACTGTAGCCACCACCCCATTCATTTGGGTCAGCTACTAACGTTCAGCTCCAAGAAGTTGAGAATTTGTGGGAAGGCTAAGCTGTAGGTGCCAGGTCTCCCAATTTTCCAAACGAGGCTGAAAGTTCAGATTTTTATGTGAAATCTCCCAAACGATGGCTCCTTTTTAGAACTGTACCATTTATCTCCAAGCAAACACACACACACACACACACGCACATACACACACACACACACACACACACACACCCCTTTCGCAGCATTAAGACCATGAACATGCCTGAAAATGTTTGAGAATGACAGGATCCGCTACATAAAATTCTCAACTAGTTAAGATGAACTGAAGCACCCCTGGTTCTCAAACTTTGGGAAAGGGATAAACACATTAGGAACCCTATCTGTGCCTCTCCCTTTATTCTATCCCAGAGGGAAAAATACACCCTCCCAAAAATGAGAGCCAAAGCCAATGCCCTTTGATTCATCACATGCTTGTAGACATCAACGTCCTCTGTGCTACGGCAAAGGAGCTGTTAGCGAAAGTGAGGGGATTAGCAAGCAGTCTTTCTAGAGAACGAAGCATGAACCAGATGTTGGATGCCATCTTCACAGAGGTTTTCTTAGCCTCTCTTCCCAACTCCAAGCTAGGTGGAGGCTTTGAAATCTGTTTAGTATATAAACGAAGACAGGTTGCCAATTACGGGCATTCGCATTCGAGGGTGGGTGTTTCTTAGAGTGAAGTCACTCCCCTAAAACTCCCTCCTATTTCTCCCAACGCTCGCTAGGAATCTTATCGAGGCTTTCTCCTGTGCCTATACCTTGTTCTGCAGACTAGTATACACACCCTTTTTGGTATATGACCCATACCTTGACATGTACTATTTTAGACCTCATATATGCAAGAATATAAAAATCTCTTTAAAAATTAAATATCCTTGGGGGCCCTAGGTGACTGGTTAAGTGCCAGACCCTTGGTTTCAACTCACAGCATGATCTCAGAGCCGTGAGATCGAGCCCCACGTGGGGCCCCATGCTCAATGCCGGATCTGCTTAAGACGCTCTCTCTCCCCGCCCCCCCTCTGCACGTCCCCCCACAAAATGAATAAATAAATCTTTAAAGAAAAATTAAATATACTTTTAAAGCAATTCCTAAGAATTCTCAATAAACTACCGGAGAGAGCTCATCAGAAGATAAAAGGCACAGATTTGAAAACTGGTCTCTCATGGGCTATATGAGACTCCACAGACAGGCTCTGGCTCAGAGTTACTACAAATTAAAATTCTTAGTTGCCAATATTTAAAAATTGGAAATCTCCATGTTAAACAAAATTTCCAGATTCTTAGAAAAAAAATATGAAAATTTAGAAAAGTTGAGCCTACATTATGTGTTTTATAGAAATAAAGGGCAATACTCCTTCAGTTGCCCGGCCTCTAAAGGCATGTGAGTACATGATACTTTTCGGGATAACCAAAGATTTTGTCTTATACACCCAGATTGAAAATGTAAAAATTACATTTTGGGTTTAAGACAGTCTTGATAACATTTATACTCATTCGCTTCTTTTATACAGAAGAGATATACCCAAGTTTTGACCACTTTACTAAGGGAAACGTGCAACCACTATGATTCTCCTCATTTTGTGGGTGAGTCAACGGATACCCAGAGATGTCAGGTCATACATAACCAAGGTCAAACAGCTGGAGGTCGGAAAGGAGGGTTCGGATATACCAACAAAGCTCATGCACTGAACAACTAGACCAAGTAAGTGGAGAGCCCTGAATTTCAGAATAGACATTGCATAGATAGGAGAGAAGAGAGTAAAGAAAAGCAAACTGGAGACCTTTGTGGAATGAAAAAGAAGGAAAGGGCCCCCCACTGTTTTAGAGGAGCAACCTTTGCAGGAGAAACTGGGGAAAATGAGATGGAAGGAAAATGATGGCTTTGTAACTTCAAGTGATAAAGTCACGGAGAGCTTTCTACCAGCCTTGGCTCTATGCCACCTCAAAGCTGGCACAGAAAGCCCAATCCAGGACAACCAGTAATTGCCCCCAGAACATCTTCTGTTTACTCAGCAGTAACTGCCCCTCATCCCCATCTCACAGGCTCATGCCAATGGATAAGAACTCAGTCTCTCCATCTCTCCTTCACAGACACAACTTCATCCTCCTACGATTTCCTTGTCTTCCTCTGTTATGAGTAGGAGGCTGCCCGTGCCAAGGCCTCATGGCTTGAGAGGGTCTCAGTCCCACCCCTGGCAGAGACTGAGTCAAAAACTCACAGCCACAATTTGGTCTCTCATCTGAGAAGTCTTTTCCAGTGCCATGCAATACACTAAGTTCTTGAAACACACCTCAGTTTAATCCTCAGAAGACTCCCATTAACGGCAGCACTCTTATTTCCACTTAACAAAGGAGGAAACTGAGGCACAAATGGATTACATAACAACATAACATAGCATAACACAACATAACGTAACAATCTAACACGTAACAAAACGTAACACAACACAACGTAACATAACATAACGCAAAAGGATTACATAACTTGCTGAAAACCACAGAGCTGGTAACGGGAAGAGCCTGAATTCAAACCCAGGTTTATCTGAGTCCAAAGCCCACGATGTCACTACTTCATGTATATTACCTTGCAATATCATGACGATGGGGCTTCCACATGACAAGCTACAGACTGTGGATCTGAATGGCAAAGTCTTTGGGATTCTCCATCGATTGTATTTGATCTACACCTTCTAGTAACAATGGACAGGAATCCCTTCTCTCTCCGACACCGAAATCAGAAAGCATTCTCTCTCTTTCTGCTGAGGCCATAAGAGAACCCAACTCCTAAGTATTTTTCCAGAGGCATTTTAACTGATTTATTCTGAAGACCTGACTTAAAGGCAGATCAATTAGAATGTTAAAGCAAGTTTGAGGAGTAGAACCCTCCTGCCAAATTCCGCTAAACAGATCATTTAAACCCACTGACGCATTCAGAGTGTTCTGGTAGCTTTCCAATATTTCGGCAAAGCAAGAGTCATCCCTGAGGGTAGTGTCTTTGCAGACTTAACTTGTGGGTTTCGTTTGAGACCAGCATAAGGTTTGTGTGCACATCTGAGGTGTTCCCATTCATCTAGCAGTGGTTTCTGGGCTTTGTTTATGTTTGGGAGTAATTTGGTTAGTTCAGTTCCTTCACGGCCTCCTTTCAAGTGATATTTGTTTATTGGCCACAAATGCAGTCCCATTAATCCATTTTGATAAGCTAAATAAACCCCTGCCGTGGGTCCACGATGTGGCCCATATGTAAATGAGTTGTATATTCTTGCAGGAGAGACACGCACAATTTCAGTCTAGTCATCCTTGCCTAATGTGGCTGTCAGGTGTGTCGAGAGCAACAGATGCTTGTTTGATAAAGGACCTTTTTATTCTGGCTAATTAAGCAGTTGGACACACCCGCCTGTTAACGGTCCTGCTTTGTACAGCCAACTCGGGCTGAATCATGCGAGGCTACAGCTGAATAGGCCACATTTTGAAAGAAGGCTAATTAACCCCTAGGAGAAGGAAAAGAATATTGCAAAAACCCAGCTGCTG